ATCGTCATTGAAATCGAATCGCTGAAAATGATTATAGGTAGACCACAGGTGTCCCATGTGCGGTATACCGCATATGACAAGAATACCATTATTTTTTAATAATCCTAGTGAATTTATGTGCTTAAGACGATGGTGTAGTTTAAAATGTAATATATTTTGTTATTGTATACCTACATACAGTGGCGTATTTAGGAATTTGTCACGGGGAGGGTCCAGATAATTTTCAGAACACAGAGCCACGGGGGACGAAGCCCACCACACCACCCATTTACTCTTTATTAAATAAAATATAGGTACCATATTTATAAGACGATATAAAATTGTCGAGTTTTTAATTATTAAATAATAATATTTACAAAACAAATTTAAAAAAAGCGGGTAAGTGGATGTCACTCTGCTGCTGTACAGTAGCCAGTAGGTTACAAGTGGGTCAATATATAATGGATTGTATTAAACTTGAACTCAATGATATAATATCATAATATCATTGTATAAGAAAAACGATTCTGAGCGAAGACGGTTTGTCAGTCTAGATATTTTATATTGTTATTATTTATTATAGCCTGTAAGTTGAATTAATAACGAAATACTTTTATTTTTTATTTTTTTTTCTATGGTGATAGACAAAGTGTTAGAAATTAAAATCCCATTTTTAGCGGTTTTTCGTAATTTTTTGGTGGTTTTTACAGTGGCATTAAATAACTATTGAGAAAATTGAAAAATGACCTCTCTAAAGTACTATCTTGATCCAATTTTCTAAAAGATAAGTTACTATATGTCTATACATGTTGAAATCGAAGCACTCCTTCTGGAAGAAATTTTGTATACAGGAAAAAAAATAAACACCATTGTAGAACCAATAGATCCCTCAGAATCGAATATATATAGTTATATGTTATAACTTTTATAAAAATATTTTCTTAATTACATTAGGTACCTACTTCATTTATAGTTGATCTTAGATAACTTTTCAACCTTAAAAAGGTTGAAAAAGATCTCTCTGGAGTGGTTGTAGATACTGGCAATGTACAAGACTACAAAATATTTGAATTAAAAAATGAATTTGGTATTTTTCAACAATTTTTGGTACCCAACTGATAAAAATAATCACGATATTTATTGAAAATGTTGATATAACTATAGCTTCGAAAATTTTTTATAAAATCCGTAAAATCGTATGATAAAATTTGTTTTTTAATCATGTAAAAACTGCACAACATTTAACATGTACGAGACACGAGTCAATGGGGGGGGGGGTCCGGACCCCATGGACCCCCCCCCCCTAAATACGCCACTGCCTACATATAATAAATTATAATTAAGTAAAAATGTTGTGTTCACGGTTCACGTTTTATTGCCTTATAAACCAAATTTTACGAAATTTACTATAATGGTTTTATCTATACTTCGTCCCACGAGAGAAGTAGACCGTTTCGTGAATGTAAAACACGATTTAAGATAGTATGATTGCACATCCGTTGGTGATAAACTGTCCTACAGATTAAATCATTAAATCAATAAAAATTTTCGATTTGCAAATAGCGTTTCAAGCGGATAAAATATTCAATACTAGTACTATAAAGGCCAAGATGGTGGTAAAAAAAACAAACTGTAAAATCAGATTACTAAGCAGTAAGCACGCTAGTAGTGGATAAAAGCAGCTGATTTCTGGATTAAATCCTGTTGGCAGAATAAAAGGCATATTCACTGATGGATGCAGGCCCGTATTTAGGGATTTTTCGCCCCTGGGCACAATATTTATGGCGCCCCTTTCCAACACATTTTTTTTAATACCATAGAAGTGGTGGCTAAATTTTATTTTTTTTTTGGGGGGGAGCATAACATTAATTCATTTTTTATGTTTCCCTTTCTCATTGAAATTTAATTTGCAGTTAATTTTTAGCAATTTTAACTAGGTACCTATGCATTCCAATATTAGATTTTTAATAGTAGGTAAACTATACAAAAAAAACATAAATAACTAGTTTATAACTTAGGTCTTAGGTAGGTACTATCTACCTAGAATCTTCCATGATTCAAATAATAAAGAATGATATACAATTAATAATATGTACTATAATATAGTAATATAATAATATTTATTGTTTATTTTACAATTTTTTTCTTGATTGAATATCAGCAAAATATGATCTATAATATCTTCATATTTAATTTGTTTTGTTATTTCTGATTCAATATTTAATATTGCATGTGAGTTTAATCTCTCTTTAGAAATTGTTGACCTTAGGTATGTTTTTATTCAGCGTAAAGTTGAAAATGACCGTTCAGCGGTACAGTTTGAACAGGGAGTAGGTACATAAAAACATGTGTAAGCAAAGCAATACTAACACACGGGTAAATGTCTTCTGATCCTTCTATTTTTAACATAGAACTCATATCAATTATAGTTTATGGAGAATTTTTCATATTTTGAATATAACTTTGAAAATGAACACATTCGTTAATAAATGTTACATCCAAATCTTTTGTATACATTGAGTACAAATGTTCAGCTAAAACACGTACTTCTGATGGTTTTATCTTTGTGAGTCTTAAAAATAAACTATACTTTGTTATGACATTATTGTAAGCTAACTTTCGACTTGTTAATTCTTCTATTATAGAATCACAAATCACTATAAGTATGTGTTTACTTTGAATTCCAAACTATGGTTTCTACTTTCTCACTATGCTCTTCTCTTTTAAGTTTAAACATGTTATTTATTTCGTTTCTTTTTCTTATAACTTCATTAGGTTTTTCCTTCTTTTTTTTGCCTCCTTGGCTCCTTACCATTACATACACCACTAGCTTTGACTCTTTTTAGCTCCATTAAAGTATAATTTCAACTAAAAAATTGTTATGACACAGTTAAACTTATCTAGTCTTACTTATTAATTATTATTTACCTACTTGCCACTATGGCTAAATTACTGCATTCAATTCATATGTATAATGTATAAATATATAAACATATAAATATATCCAATAATTGTATGCAGATTTGCAATGTAATTTAAGTGAACCTAAACTGTGTAATTGTAGTGTACCTACCTTAACTGGCACAACCTTACAATATCAATTATAAAGTTGAAAGTTTTAATATTATTATAAATAATATAATAATAATAATAATATTTTATTTTATATAACAATTCAAAAAAAGTAAACTCTTATTTCTATTATATTAGTTCACTTATTGAGATTTAAATTATGTAGGTACGGAGTACGTAGTCACTGACATATAGAGTTTAGCAAGTTGTATAATATGAAATGACACAAATGTATTTTAGTAGCCAGTAAATAAGTACAATCGATAATCCTGATTTGCCAATACGGGCCAACGCAGTTATACTATACGTCTAGTTTTACAGTTGTCAGTTTACTAGTAAAAATAAACCCACTAATATTTAATAATGTTAGGTACCTACCTACTTAGTTAATAACGTTTATTTCTCTTTATTTAAAATGATAAAATATAGGTAAAAAAAATGTATGCATATGTGAATTTAAAAAATAAATAATAATAAAATATATCATTTTTTAGAAATCTTTCTCTTTACGAAAAAAATTAATTTTTTGTTTAATTTATCTGAGATAATTTTGCCGCCCCCAAAGTGTGCCGCCCCCGGGCAATTGCCCACCGGTGCCCCCTCTTAAAACCGGCCCTGGATGGATGGGCAACCATACTACCTTAAATCGTGATGTAGACTGGTGGCAGCGGCCGTTCAAGGTTCCGTTTCCATTGGCGAAAATCGCATAGTGTATTTGTGTGGCCCAAGTTTGATTAAAATAATATATATTATATTAAATTGAATTCAGAAAAAAACTTATTTAAATTATCAAAATTGATATTACAATCAAAAATTTCAATTCGATTTCAAACTGTTAACCCTGGTTAACAAATCATTAAATCTACCTATAAAAATATGTTAGCTAAGACTAAAAATTAAAAAGTTATGTATTCTCTGTTGGCGTTGGAAACAAACTTTGTCTTTACAGTTCATAAAAAATATATTAGGCACTATTAGAATAATTGTCTAAAATCATATATATTTTTGTTGGTCGATGGACAATAAAATGCAAGCCATAGACGTGGTAAATAATAACCTAAGAACACATGCTCTTTTAATCCCAAAGGATGAATGGATAAGACTAAAAAAGATTTTGACCAAAAAGGATGATGATATAGCTACAATTGAGATGAAAAAGCGATTAAAAGACGAACGGCAAGCTACATCCAAAGCCATATCCGAATCATGGGACACCACTGTACTGGTAATTACCTAAATGAATATTTATAAAATTCTGTACAACTAAATTGAACTAAATTCTATATATATAGACTATACATGCTTCACGGTTTTTTAAGGTTTTGATGGACACACCTATTTGTATATTTTTTATTTACAAAATTTATAAAATAATACCTGTCTAGGTGTTAACCTGCATTAGGTATAGGCACAATGACATAATTGAGTTTAACACAAAATCGAATAGGTACCTATATTGGGTGGTGATTACCGTAAAGTTTATAACGTACAAGTACCAAATAAACATAGTAACATACATATAATATACAAATTTGGTATGGTTATTAATTATGATTAAAAAAAAATAATTACCTTTATTTTTTTCTTAGAACAAAAGAAAGAAAGAACTAGAAAACAGACAAAAGTTATTAGCAAGTAGTGAAGCCAGACAACTTAAAAGAGACGAAATTATGAAACTCGATATTTTGGAGCGCAGAAATGCCATTGTAGAAAAGGCTCGGTTGAAGAAATGGTCGGACAGAGATTCGACAAAAGCGCTCGCCAGAGCAGTGCACAAGATGGAGGTATGGATTTTATATAGTTGTATTAATAGCACTAGTAATTACTAATTAATATAATATTATGTACTAATATTAAGTCATGAATATAGAATAATAATAAGATAATCACATATTATTCAATATACTTAATCTATGCGATGATTTATGCTTTATTATACATAATAGGTACATTATTACAATATTACTTCATATATATCAAACAACACTAGCATTTAGGACTTATAGCTTAGCTAGGCTATATAATATCCATATAAGCTATAGGCTTGATAAAGTTGTAGAAAGGACAAACGGTACTTATACAGTTATACGTTTACAAATTATAGGTATCATTACACGTCAATAATATAGGTAGGTTCATATAATATAGATTGTATATTGTATATATTCAATAATATTAGTTATTACTATACTCTATTTCAAATGAGAACGCACCCTTATCAGAGGCGGCCAGAAACACGCCCCCACCACAAAATGAATAATGAAACTGTCGGGACCTGAGGGAGTTTCGACCGGTTTTCATTCGCCGCCTGGTGCGTTCTTATTTGAAATAGAGTACCTACCTACCTATATTATACTACCTATTCAATAGTTATTTTACAATTTGTCTCAGGTTGTTTAACTTACGTTCCCCTAGTAATCATTTTTCACATGATTATTATTTATTATATAATCAAATTTATGCAGTATGTTATGATGGTCGGATATTATTATTATAGGTGCTTAGAGAGAGATCTATTCAAATTATATTCAATGAGGTTCAGAAAGCGAAGGAATTGGAAGCAGATCGTTTATTAAAGATGGAACAAAATTTAGATGCTGAACGATATAAGACGGATCAATGGGAACAGAAATTGAAACAAGCTGAAACGAAAAAAGCTAATGCTGCTTTTTTCCTAAAAGAGTGAGATAAAAGATTTAAGTAATTTAATTCGTATTCGTATTAGACATTAGTTAAAACATTATATTATATCTAGGTATATTAAATAAATTATAGTTATATAATTATAGTTATATAATTAATTTACATTTATTTTTAAAGTTGTATAATATCCTCATCTACCGACTACCAGCAATTAATATAATTTATAATTTTAAAGTATCATCTTTTAGATTCTGAGTGAAACGAATGATGTGTGTGATTTTTATTTTATTTTATTTTATTTGTGTCTGTGTACACGATAAGTAGTCGAAATAATGCTTCGATTTTCAACTTCAGTATCTTGTTCGATTGGAAAGTGAATATCGTTGGTGCATTGGGGAGGTCAAAATTTAAAATTCCCAGTAATTTTCGAAAGCGCCAAGAAAAACAAAAGAACCATTAAGGAAAACGGGAACTTTTACACAAAATCGAATTTGGTTTTTGGTGTAACTTTAAAACAAATGACAGTAGATACATGACATTTTCACTGGTTGTTTATATTTGCATTTTCTATACACGATAACATTTTCAAAATATTTTGAACTGTTTAGGGACATTTTCATTTTCCATTTTTTAGATTCTGAGTGAAACGATGAATGTATTGATTTTACAATGATGTGTGTTTTTATATTTATTTTTTTTGTGTCTGTGTACACGATAAGTAGTCGAAATAATGCTTCGATTTTCGACTTCAGTATCTTGTTCGATTGGAAAGTGAATATCGTTGGTGCATTGGGGAGGTCAAAATTTAAATTTCCCAGTAGTTTTCAAGAGCGCCGGGAAAAACAACATAACAATTAAGGAAAAACGGGAATTTTTACGCAAAATCGGTTTTCCAAAAAATCGATTCTGGTTTTTGGTGTAACTTTAAAACAAATGACCGTAGATACATGAAATTTTCACTGGTTGTTTATATTTGCATCTTCTATACACGATAACATTTTCAAAATATTTTGATTTATTTTGAACAGTTTAGGGACATTTTCATTTTTCGTTTTTTTTTAGTTTTTTTTCTAGAAATATCAATAAAATTTTATTTGTTGGTTGCGAAAGCTTGAAAATTTAATAGAAGGCTCCTAATATATTGTTTCAAAGGCAGATGAAAAATATTAAAAATCCTTAGTCACAATTTTTTTTTATAAGCATTTAAAGTTCAAAAATTGACAAAATATGGAAAAATCACGAAAATTAGCAAATTATTTTGAGTTAAGAATTCGTAAAAATTTTTCTTTTTAAATCTAAGATTTGAAAATCTAATACAAGATTACTCATAAGAACCTTTATCAATAAAAAAATCTCTACCGGAAAGTCAAATTAAATTTTTATGAGCGTTTGAAATTCAAATTTTTACAACATTGGATATTCACTCGATTTCTCATGTGGCAATTTCCTTTTTTTGTTGTAATTAAAAAACGAATTACTGTAGATACATGAAAATTTCACTGAATGTTTATATTAGCATTTCCTATACACCATACAATTTTGAAAATATTTTGACTCTTTTTGAGCCGTTTACGGACATTTTCAGTTTTCAATTTTTTTAGTTTTTTTTTTCTATAAATATCAATTAAGTTTTATCTGTTGGGCCAAAAAGTGTAAAAATTGAATACAAGGCTCCTGATATATTGTTACAATATCAGTTGAAAAATATTAAAAATACATAGGCACAATTTTTTTTTATAAGCGTTTTAACATCGAATTTTGACAGAATTTTTCAAAATCTCGAAAATTATTAATCATCGTAATTAATAAATTATAAAATGTTCAGTTTTTATAGCTAAGGATTGAAAATTTAAAACAAGATTCTACGTAAGTAGTTAATTCTCTTACCGAAAAATCTAAAAAATATACAATCACAGTTTATTTTTATAGTCATTTTATGTTCAAATTTGGACGAAATTTCATATTAAAAAACCTAGTTATTTTGTTGTGATTATATAATATTATTCGTGGGTACGGGGTACCTACTTGAAACTTCTAAAGTGTACTATTATATATCTATGATAGTATCAGGGTTTGTTATTGATGTTGATGTATAACATGTTATAATAGTACCTAATGGATATTGTGATAATGTGATATGATTAATTTGGAATTTATTATAAGTCAATTTTTTTTTAATACCATAGATATGTATATAATTTGTCTTAAGCCTAGACTGACATACCGTCTTCGCTCAGAATCGTTTTTCTTATACAATGATATTGTATCATTGAATTCAAATTTAAAAGCATCCATTATACAGTGACCCACTTGTAACCTACTGTACAGCAGAGCGACATCCACTTACCCACCTTTTTTTAGTTTTTTTTCTAAAAATATCAATAAAATGTTATTTGATGGTTAATAAAGCTTGAAAATTTAATAGAAGGCTCCTAGTATATTGTTTCAAAGGCAGATGAAAAATATTAATAATCCTTTGCCACAGTTTTTTTTTATAAGCATTTAAGATTTCGTAAAAATTTTTCTTTTTAAATCTAAGGTTTTAAAATGTATTACAAGATTCCTTATAAGATTATCTACTTTTATCAAAAAAAAAATGTGTATAAGAAAGTCAAATTAAATTTTTATGAGCGTTTGGAATTCTAATTTTTTGCAACATTGGATATTCACTCGATTTCTCATGTAGCGATTTCCTTATTTTGTTGGAATTCAAAAACGAATAACTGTAGATACATGAAAATTTTACTGAATGTTTATATTAGCATTTCCTATACACCATACAATTTTGAAAATATTTTGACTCTTTTTGAGCTGTTTTCGGACATTTACAGTTTTCAATTTTTTTTAGTTTTTTTAGATTCTGAGTGGAGCGATGAATGTATTGATTTTACAATGATGTGTGTGTTTTTTTTTATTTTTTTTTGTGTCTGTGTACACTATAAGAAGTCTGTGCCCTCCTTGCAGTCCCCCCTTTAATCCGGGCTTGAATACTCAAAACACTATCGATAAATGCTCTAAAATAGGCAAAAATTAATTTTACTGCAATAATGCCTTTATTAATTGTTACAAGACTATTTTTTTAACGCAATGTCAGTAGTTACTACTTCAATTATAATTTCCAACAAACTTAAAATAATTTACAAAACATACATTGAACAAAAAAACTAATATTTTAATAATTTTATGAAATTTTGATTGTTAATATGTAAAATAAAAATTAATCGTTGGAGTATCTGTTTCGTGAAACAAATTAAGTAAGTTACCTACTACCTACTATACCTATACCTATGATCTTTTTTCTATGACCTATACTGTGTCCAGCGAGAAAACTCATTATTTGAGCATCCTTCCGCTATCAAAACCGGTTTCTCCTATGGCAGGGTGTTGCGTAAGGGAACCAGTTTTGGTCGGTTTTGCGACGAGATCTTTTGCTGGATAGACTATACTTAAAATTTTGAAAAATTGTTGACTCTTTTTGAGGCTTGAGCTGTTTACGGACAATTTCAAATTTCATTTTTTTTTTTACAAGCATTTAAAGTTCAAAAATTGACAAAATATGGAAAAAATCACGAAAATTAGCAAATTATTTTGAGTTAAGAATTCGCAAAAAATATTCTTTTTAAATCTAAGATTTTAAAATGTAATATAAGATTTTCTACATTTATCAAAAATAAAATGTCTATAAGAAAGTCAAATTAAATTTTATGACCGTTTGATATTCAAATTTTTACAACATTGGATATTAATTCGATTTCTCATGTGGCGATTTCCTTATTTTGTTGAAATTCAAAAGCGAATTTGACACTGTAGATACATGAAAATTTCATTGAATGTTTATATTAACATTTAAAAAATACACAAGCCCAGTTTATTTTTATAGTCATTTTAAGTTCAAATTTGGACGAAATTACATATTTAAAATCAATATTAACGATTTTAGATTTGTTTGTACTTTAAAAAAATTATTCGGGGATATATGAACTGAAAAATCAAAATATTATGGCCTATATCCATACAATCTACCATAGTATAAGTATAATGAATAAGAAGTATGCTCTATGATAAGACTGTGCATATCTTTTTTTTATTACCATTGATATGTATATAATATGTCTTAAACCTATACTGACATACCGTCTCCGCTCAGGATCGTTTTTCTCATACAATGATATGATATCATTGAATTCAAATTTAATACCTTCCATTATAGAGTGACCCAATTGAAACTTAATGACAAAGTGACTTTTTTTTTAACTTAGTAATTGAATCATTTGAATCTAATATCAAGCTAATGGTCTTTGTCAACTTAATTTTAAACTAATGATGTATTAAAAATGTATATTAACTTCATTTTTAATTTAATTGAAAAATTAATAATGACCTTAACTTAAATGATTTAAAAAAATATCATTAACTGTCCAGCCTTGGTTACTGGCATAGGGCATGGGTAAATAATATGTTGGAACACCAATATAATGTAAAATATAAATTATTATTGGTACCGTAGTATTAACAATATGTTCTTAATATTGTGTGTGGTGGTTACATTCATGCACAAAACATGTTCTGAGTGCAAGTACTAGTCGGTACTCGGTGTCACTAGTTCCCGGATGGGTCACCACCCGGGCTTTTACACTGCCCATCGAATGACGTGTCCCGATCAAAACGCTTCCGATCCCGCGTGTCTACACGCAACGACATTACTGTCGTTAACATTCAGTACGATCGGCAACCATCGCTCGACGCTATAATATATATTATTGCAACCTATACCGTCGCTGCACAAAGTGGGGAAATTGTAGCTCGGACTGGTCACTGCCATAGTGCCATCAGCCTACATTCATGCGAAACAATAATGTTCTCTCGTGGGCCGAAGTATAGTAACAAATCCTTGCCACACATACACACATGTATTCTAATCTATCCGTATCCCCCTCCCCACTCTACAAACAGCTCATGATCATAGTTTTCTGGGTTATGAACCATAAAAAAAAATCTATATAATATAATATATACTATAAAATATGATATTAATATATTATTATGGTGTTACAAGATTGAAAGAACGAGAGAATATAAAGCGTGACGATGATATTAAATTAAGAGAAGAAGGTAAAGCTGAATTACAGAGAATTGCAAATGAAATCGAGGAAGATAAAGAGAATAAAAAAGCTAAAGTTATATAATATATTATATTGTGTTAATTTGTTACATCATAGGTATATCATTGTAATTACCTACATTATGTTTAAGTCTCTAGCAACGAGGAGAATTAATAAATCACTTAAATGAAAATAGAAAAATTGTGGCTGAAAACATTAAGCTGCGTCAGTTAGAAGATCAAGAGGAAAATTTAGTAGTATCAATAATGGCTGAGGCAAAGAAGAAAATAGCTAAAACAAGAAAACTGAAAGAAATAGAAGTATGTCCCAACCACCTAATAATATTTATTATTATATAGGTAAATGTTTAAGTTAATATGTACTGTCATGGAAATATGGAATACCAATATAGTAATATGAATAATAATACAAACGAATTGTATAGTCAACTTTATTGTTAACAGTATAAATTTCAATGATGTATGCATTGAAATTGTTTACACTCAATAATGACGATGGCCACAGGACCGTCCCACTGACCTTAATCTGATAGGTACTCATGATTTCCAAAATATACAAGATTATTGCACATAGCCTATATTATTGTTATCAAACAAAATAAAATGACAGCGTAAGGACCTTAGATCATAAACAAGTGTAGGTATAGTATATGATCTAAGGTACCATGGCTTAAAATACAGGTTGGATCAGTTGGAGGCTTGTCCCTTACGTTACTCTGTTACTATTATAATTTCTTAACGTGATAAAATATTATGGTGGGCGTACTATTGAAATAACCTATACGTACATATTAATATATAATATATATGTATATTATTTTGGTAATACTTATACTACTTTAGAATGCATAAATGCTGCATAATATCAAACATGTATGTACAGTGTTTTGTTTATAAAATTTAATATTAAATTCGTTTGTTAGATTTTAAACGAAAACAAACATTATTAGAAAAAATGGTGTTGAAACTGCAAACACGGGTCAGGATAAAGAAGAGGTTTCATTTCAAAACGTAGTCGAAGAAAAAGAGCGGAAGTTCGTACATTCTTAGGTTTATTCTACTATTTTTTTACAAGTTAGATAAATTCTTGTTTAGGTATCAAAGAGAAGAACTTAAAAATAAGGGTTTGATAAAAAATAGAGAAGAAGATTTCGAGGACAGTAAGAAGATCTTGGATGAAGAAAATAGAAAGGAAAAAGAACGTTTGACACTGAGTCATCAGTGGGAACTGGAAAGGCGCCTAAGAGAGACTGAGATGTTATGCTTACTCGAAGAGTCAAGTAAACAGGCAAAGACCAGAGAAAACTAACTGTTTCGAAGTATCTCAATTTACAATTGTTGTAAATACGTGAAATCAGAAATTTTAACTAATATTTTATGCTAAATTAATTATTTAATGTTATTTTTTTATATAGGATAACAATAGAGCAGCTACTAGAGCTAACACACGGGTAGAATGTTGAAGAATATAATGCACAATTAAACTTTGTAAACAACAGGACGAGGAGTTTATGACCTACACCAAAAATATGATAACTAAATATAAAAAAGCTGGGATATCTGTCATACCATTAATGAAAGCTATCGAGGGGTGATACTATTATGATATAATCATATCCTATTTTATAAAATCAAATAAATTATAATAAATAGGTTCTTGTAATTTTGTAAAATATGTTGTTCTCTGCAGGATTATAAGAAAAACAACAAATTACTCAGCATGCAGTGAACATATTAGTCCCGAATCCGAATAATCTAAATGTATATCAAGAACATTTTTGATATACACGTCTCTTGTTTGCTACAACAACGACATAACACAAACATCGCGGTTCACACAAAACGCATTTGAAAATTTTATTTGCAATTATATGACGATAAAATCATATTGAATGTTCATATTGCTTTAGAAACTTATTTTAATTGAAGTAGAGTGTTATAACATACTATATTTATGCTTTATTCTTACCTAAAAATTTTTTGTTATTTTAAAATTATAGAAGTTAGTTTAAGTTTTTTAACTTATGACACTATTGATTCAAAGATTGATGTTTAGTTAAGAGTTATTTTGTAGTATGTCGTTATGCAAAATTTTTATTTTTATTTTCTTCCTAATTTTATGTATTATTTGTAGTTATGACATTATTGTATAACTATTAATAATAACACACATTTTAATAAATGCTCCAACTTACTTTGTTAATTAAAAACAAACAGAAATTTAAAATAATAATAATAATAATAATAATAATAATAATAATAACAAAATCTTTTAGCTTAGAACACATTAGATTAATATTATAGTATCACAGAATATTTACAATTGTTCATAATATGGTTTATAAAAGTTTGGTATACAATTTTTCTTAACTAAGTATAATAAGTCTTTTTTTTCTTTCTGAGATCCCTGGTTTTGCAGAAAATTCTTTTTTTAACTCAACAGCTACAGTTTTTTTTCTTCTGATCACAATAGCTTCTTTGAATTCTGCTTGAGAGTATGATGTTTTATAAAAAATGGATGATGGTGATTGTTTCTCAACTTTCATAATTTTTACACTCGTAAACTTCACCGCTTTATTTTCTGTGTTAACAGTAATATTTACACACACTTTTTATATCATAAAAATCTTCGTAGCAAAACTCATGAACGTGATATAGCTCTCCAGTTTTTTTAGCAGTATGAATTATTGAGACAAATCATTCTGGAGTGTAAATAGGCCAACTTTTTAACTGTTTTTACATTGTCTCTCTATTAAGGAGTGTACTGAATCACCTTAATTTTGAGTGTGGCCTTTTATGAGGTACTTGTGTGTGATGGTTTTTATATTTTTAAATTGATGAACTGCATGAATGTATAATGCAAGTATAAATTTATTTTTATTTTTCCCGGGACAGTTATCAGAATAGAAAATTACATCCCCTTCATTTTTATCAGACTTCATTTCCAAATATTTCCATATACAAGTTCCCAACTCATTCACACCTCTGTGACCATTTGATACATCCCATACATAGCAATCAGCAATATTTTTCTGCATGTCATAAATAGTGAAATTAAGAACATTTAACTTTGACCTGTAATAAAATGAAGAAACATCTCCTTTTGGCAACGGCATCACAGCTTGTAAATCATAAACCGCTAATATTAAATTTGTTTTTTCTTTATCAAGTTGTTTCTCAGTTCTTGACAAATCTTTTTCCACCAAGTGTTCTTCATAATTATTTTTTTAACTCATTTTTGTTTTCACCTATTGCATTGTCATAAGCCACACATGTATCACACAAGTCTTTCTTAGGTTGAAAAAATGAAATATTAAATTCTTGTGTGAAAATACGATAAAACAATACATAGTTGCCAAAAAGAACATTTTTTTCCTTACATTCAGCCACATAATCCCTGCGAATATCAGAAATAGACCTGGGAGTAGGATGAAATGTTTTGAAGTATCTGCTCTTGCATAATGACTTTCAATTTTTGTTATTGAAGAAATATGTTTTTTAATACCATCCCTTAAGATATCGTCTAATTTAACATGTTTGCCATGTTTTCCTCTTCTATTTCCTTCTAATAGAGTATTAACTATTTTATTTTGTTTTTCTATGACAGTACGAATAGGTCTATCGTCTATATCTAACGTATTCTTAAAAAATAATTTACATACTCTTGCTCTCTATTCTTTTAAAATAAAATAAAATGCATTATTACTATTTCTTGGGCTTCAAGTACCACCTTGGCGAATATAACGATACTTTGGCTTTATGGTCTGCATACTATTTGTCTCTGTCTTTCAATTCGCCCAACTCCCAGAATCCTGAAAACAATTCTTTTTTTATTTCATCGTTGAAATTGGATGAACATTTGAGCTTGCACGTTTCCTTAAAAATTATACGATATTAAGGCATATTGAAGAGTTCAAACTAAACCTTCCAGCATCTTAAACAGAAAAACAACTGACGATGATAAGCTCAATTCAGAATGATAATACAAAAGGCACCTGAAGGTAATCAATAAACAAGTCTGTGCAAAAAATTCAACTAGTCAAATTAATAAAAATAAAAATTGAAGGGGAATGTTGGCGCCCGCAGGCAAATGCAATTTATAAAACCAAAAAAAAATTTAGAAAAAATTATACGATATTAAGGCATATTGAAGACTTTAAACTAAAACGTCCAGAATCTTAAACAGAAAAACAACTGACGATGATAAGCTCATTACAGAATGATAATACAAAGGGCACCTGAAGGTAATCAATAAACAAGTCTGTGCAAAAAACTAAACTAGAGTCAAATTCCTAAAAAAAAAATTGAAGGTAAGTGTTGGCGCCCGCAGGCAAATGCATTTTAGAAAAAAAAAAAAAATTTAGACAACATTTTACAGTAGGAACACATATTGAAGGGTTCAAACTAAAATGTCCAGAATCCTAAACCGAAAAACAACTGACGATGACGATAATCAATAATCAAGTTTGTTCAAAAATTCAACTAGTCAAATTCCTAAAAAAAAATTGAAGGGGAGTGTTGGCGCCCGCAGGCAAATGCATTTGAGAAAACCAAAAAAAAATTTAGACAAAATTTTACAGTAGGAAAACACATTAAAGAGTTCAAACTAAAATGTCCAGAATCCAAAACAGAAAAACAACTGACGATGACGATAATCAATAATCAAGTTTGTTCAAAAAATTCAACTAGTCAAATTCCTAAAAAAAAATTGAAGGGGAGTGTTGGCGCCCGCAGGCAAATGCATTTTAGAAAACCAAAAAAAAAATTTATAAAAAATCATACAATAGGAACACATATTGAAGGGTTCAAACTAAAACGTCCAGAATCCTAAACCGAAAAACAACTGACGATGACGATAATCAATAATCAAGTTTGTTCAGAAAATTCAACTAGAGTCAAATTCCTAAAAAAAAAATTGAAGGGGAGTGTTGGCGCCCGCAGGCAAATGCATTTTAGAAAACCAAAAAAAAATTTAGACAAAATTATACAGTAGGAAAAAACATTAAAGAGTTCAAACTAAAATGTCCAGAATCCAAAACAGAAAAACAACTGACGATGACGATAATCAATAATCAAGTTTGTTCAAAAAATTCAACTAGTCAAATTCCTAAAAAAAAAATTGAAGGGGAGTGTTGGCGCCCGCAGGCAAATGCATTTGAGAAAACCAAAAAAAAATTTAGACAAAATTTTACAGTAGGAAAACACATTAAAGAGTTCAAACTAAAATGTACAGAATCCAAAACAGTAAAACAACTGACGATGACGATAATCAATAATCAAGTTTGTTCAAGAAATTCAACTAGTCAAATTCCTAAAAAAAAATTGAAGGGGAGTGTTGGCGCCCGCAGGCAAATGCATTTTAGAAAACCAAAAAAAAAATTAGAAAAAATCATACAATAGGAACACATATTGAAGGGTTCAAACTAAAATGTCCAGAATCCTAAACCGAAAAACAACTGACGATGACGATAATCAATAATCAAGTTTGTTCAAAAAATTCAACTAGAGTCGAATTCCTAAAAAAAAATTGAAGGGGAGTGTTGGCGCCCGCAGGCAAATGCATTTGAGAAAACCAAAAAAAAATTTAGACAAAATTTTACAGTAGGAAAACACATTAAAGAGTTCAAACTAAAATGTCCAGAATCCAAAACAGAAAAACAACAGACGATGACGATAATCAATAATCAAAATTGTTCAAAAAATTCAACTAGAGTCGAATTCCTAAAAAAAAAATTGAAGGGGAGTGTTGGCGCCCGCAGGCAAATGCATTTGAGAAAACCAAAAAAAAATTTAGACAAAATTATACAGTATGAAAACACATTAAAGAGTTCAAACTAAAATGTCCAGAATCCAAACAGAAAAAAAACTGACGATGACGATAATCAATAATCAAGTTTGTTCAAAAAATTCAACTAGAGTCAAATTCCTAAAAAAAAATTGAAGGGGAGTGTTGGCGCCCGCAGGCAAATGCATTTGAGAAAACCAAAAAAAATTTAGACAAAATTTTACAGTAGGAAAACACATTAAAGAGTTCAAACTAAAATGTCCAGAATCCAAAACAGAAAAACAACTGACGATTACGATAATCAATATTCAAGTCTATACAAAAAATTCAACTTAAGTCGAATTCCAAGAAAAAAAATTGAAGGGGAGTGTTGGCGCCCGCAGGCAAATGCATTTTAGAAAACCAAAAAAAAATTTAGACAAAATTATACAGTAGGAAAAAACATTAAAGAGTTCAAACTAAAATGTCCAGAATCCAAAACAGAAAAACAACTGACGATGACGATAATCAATAATCAAGTTTGTTCAAAAAATTCAACTAGAGTCAAATTCCTAAAAAAAAATTGAAGGGGATTGTTGGCGCCCGCAGGCAAATGCATTTTAGTAAACCAAAAAAAAAATTAGAAAAAATCATACAATAGGAACACATATTAAAGGGTTCAAACTAAAATGTCCAGAATCCTAAACCGAAAAACAACTGACGATGACGATAATCAATAATCAAGTTTGTTCAAAAAATTCAACTAGTCAAATTCCTAAAAAAAAAATTGAAGGGGAGTGTTGGCGCCCGCAGGCAAATGCATTTGAGAAAACCAAAAAAAAATTTAGACAAAATTTTACAGTAGGAAAACACATTAAAGAGTTCAAACTAAAATGTCCAGAATCCAAAACAGAAAAACAACAGACGATGACGATAATCAATAATCAAGTTTGTTCAAAAAATTCAACTAGAGTCGAATTCCTAAAAAAAAATTGAAGGGGAGTGTTGGCGCCCGCAGGCAAATGCATTTGAGAAAACCAAAAAAAAATTTAGACAAAATTTTACAGTAGGAAAACACATTAAAGAGTTCAAACTAAAATGTCCAGAATCCAAAACAGAAAAACAACAGACGATGACGATAATCAATAATCAAGTTTGTTCAAAAAATTCAACTAGAGTCGAATTCCTAAAAAAAAAATTGAAGGGGAGTGTTGGCGCCCGCAGGCAAATGCATTTGAGAAAACCAAAAAAAAATTTAGACAAAATTATACAGTATGAAAACACATTAAAGAGTTCAAACTAAAATGTCCAGAATCCAAAACAGAAAAACAACTGACGATGACGATAATCAATAATCAAGTTTGTTCAAAAATTTCAACTAGAGTCAAATTCCTAAAAAAAAAATTGAAGGGGAGTGTTGGCGCTCGCAGGCAAATGCATTTGAGAAAACCAAAAAAAAATTTAGACAAAATTTTACAGTAGGAAAACACATTAAAGAGTTCAAACTAAAATGTCCAGAATCCAAAACAGAAAAACAACTGACGATGACGATAATCAATAATCAAGTTTGTTCAAAAAATTCAACTAGAGTCAATTTCCTAAAAAAAAATTGAAGGGGAGTGTTGGCGCCCGCAGGCAATTGCATTTTAGAAAACCAAAAAAAAATTAGAAAAAATCATACAATAGGAACACATATTGAAGGGTTCAAACTAAAATGTCCAGAATCCTAAACCGAAAAACAACTGACGATGACGATAATCAATAATCAAGTTTGTTCAAAAAATTCAAATAGAGTCAAATTCCTAAAAAAAAAATTGAAGGGGAGTGTTGGCGCCCGCAGGCAAATGCATTTGAGAAAACCAAAAAAAAATTTAGACAAAATTATACAGTAGGAAAACACATTAAAGAGTTCAAACTAAAATGTCCAGAATCCAAAACAGAAAAACAACTGACGATGACGATAATCAATAATCAAGTTTGTTCAAAAAATTCAACTAGAGTCAAATTTCTAAAAAAAAATTGAAGGGGAGTGTTGGCGCCCGCAGGCAATGGCATTTTAGAAAACCAAAAAAAATTTAGACAAAATTTTACAGTAGGAAAACACATTAAAGAGTTCAAACTAAAATGTACAGAATCCAAAACAGTAAAACAACTGACGATGACGATAATCAATAATCAAGTTTGTTCAAGAAATTCAACTAGTCAAATTCCTAAAAAAAATTGAAGGGGAGTGTTGGCGCCCGCAGGCAAATGCATTTTAGAAAACCAAAAAAAAAATTAGAAAAAATCATACAATAGGAACACATATTGAAGGGTTCAAACTAAAATGTCCAGAATCCTAAACCGAAAAAC